TWAGAGTTGRAGAACMTGATTTACATCACAAATAAAAATAGTACAATCAAGGTCTATTGGGACACGGATAYGCAATGTACTTCTCTATGATGCAGAAACTTGCATGAGAAAATTCTCGAAGAGGTTTCTTCATTTTTGTTCGAACACGTCTTCTAGCTTCGATGATGCCTTCTCTGCATAGAAACGAACATCTCTGTCTGGATCATCTTGCAGCAAAGATAAAATTGGATGGATCTGTTGATTGTACACGTTCGTTTCACAAATGTGACCCATTTCTCCCAAAGCGTGYGCGACATTAAAGCGAATGTTTGCCACAGTATCCGTCGCCATTTCCAATATAATCGGCAATACTTCGATTTGTGCGATCGCGGGATCCATTTCAATCGCCATTTTGCCGCAGGCCTGGACGGCCGTCAAGCGTCTTAGATAGGAAGAGTTCTGACGTATATCGTCGATTGACGGAAGCAAATATTCACACGCCCAATCAGTACCAAACAGGGCGGTTAACTCCTTGATATTCGTGGTGGCAGCATCTCGAATAGAAGCAATCTCGTCTCCTAGCCARTTAACGCAAATGGAAGAAAGTTTGTCGGTRAAAAAGTCTTTGCCCAATTGTTTCGCTAGCAAGGGAGTTTGCTCGATTATTGCCAGCCGGATCCTAAATTATGTCAAAAGGAGAGGAATAAATATTWTGAAGACGAATCTACTSTTTAGAAAATACTCATGTTTCCCTAGAAAACGAAATCTTCGTTTCAAAAACTCACCTCCATTTCCCATCTTGCGCCAGGTCYAGAATCGCAGGCAAAAGTGATTGTGAAAGAAGATCGACTCCGATGACCATATTCAAACTCTCTAACGACGAGATAAGGTTGAGGCGCACCTCCGAGGCTGCGTCTCGTAAAAGAAGYAGGATTGGTGGGACCAGGTGTGTTATGGTACCATCCCTTCCTAGAACAGGTGCGAGCTCCGTAGCTACCATGGCAAGAGCGGCTCGGACATGTTCACTGTCATCTTCCGTCAAAGAAGTGACTCGTTTGACCAGCCGTTCGGCAGCGGAGACTCGCTTCCCCGTGAAATTAGCGGCTGCAGCTTCATCGAGTTCATCCGATCCGAGTGGCAATATCATCGAGTCGCACCCCCCGGCGACCACTGCCAGATTAAACGAGGCGGCAGTTCGAACTTCGGCCTCAGGATCTTGCAGCAATTTTTCATAAGCAGGTATCAATGTATCCATAGCACCCGGTATGGGGTTATATGCCTTGATGATATCGGCGAACTTGGCTGCGGCGGTCCATCGGACTCTCCAGGAACGATCATCGATGGTAGCTACAATCAAAGGCAGCAAGCGCTGAACCAATGATCGCTCGTTTTCTGTCAAGATTTTGCCGTCGCTRACTAACTTCCCTATTACCCGACCGAAGACGACGCAGTTTTCTGTCGTTTGCAACCGCACAGAATCCTATTGTTCGTTTGTACCGATAAGTGATTTTTGCACACAAAGTACATCATGTTTAAACAATGTTGAGAGTCGAATCACTTAAGTGTAGCCTGACCATTTTTCAAACAGAGAATTGTACCGAAAATATTGGGATCCTKAACTTACCGGTTGTTCGTTCGAGGAAAGTGTCTCGTACAACGGAATCAAAGTTGTTGTMACCATTCCTCCTTCCTCCAAACTTGCCCTACCCGTTGCMTCGACAACATTTTCTACCATTATTCCCAAACTTTGTGCTGCTACTCTTCTCACCATTGGTGTCTCGTCCTTGCATAAGTCAGTAAATAGTTTAACGAATTCTTCWTGCTGGCTAGATTTCAACCGGGGATAGGCTTTCGCAATGAGGCCCGCAGATGAAATTCTTGCAGTGAACCATTCCTTTTGCGCTARTCGTATTAACATGGACACATATTTATCTCGAAAGRCTTCGTCTGGCAAAGCATTGGCTACAAGAAGGGTGCTCGCCGCAGCAGCGTCTCGAACAGCATTTTCTTCCACTGTCAACAACRGTTCCAATGGCGGAAGAATCGTCTGCACATGGTCTCCACCACCAACCAGAGGTATCAATTTGCCTAAAGAATTAGCAAGAGCTAACAATACTTCATCCTCGTCATCCGCCCCGTCTGTCAAGAATGGCAATAGTTCCTTCGCAGTGAAAAAGCAATAATTTGAAACACGTCCATGAGCAGAAATCAGTGAAAACRATTTATTCCTTCGACACCAACATATCAGATAAAATAAATSAACGAAACAAATAAACTTGTCTATMTATGATTCACAAGCATTTCGTCAAGAGGCGCATCGTGTGCTCTGGTTTCTTTATTCATTTACAAATCAATCCGGAGAAAACATTTTCGAACCCAATTGTCCAAAAAAGTACAGCAAGAAAAATAAAMWAAAAA